ATCAGCAAAACAAGACTTTTATTAATTAATAAAAAAAAAAGGATATTAGGTACCATTTACAAAAGGCTGAGTTCCTAAAGTACAAGAAGAAAGCTCCTATTGGAAACAAAACAGCACTAGGCCGGCAGCGGCCAAAAGAAACAAAAGGAAAATATAAAACAACACCTACCGTCTTTGTTTGAGTTATTATTTTTTTTTTTTCCCTTTTTCCTTAAATTTCTTCATGGTGAAAAATTATACAGTGAAGGTGATGATCAATTTAATTTAGAGTTTGTTTGGGAAGATGAATTACATAGAATGGTTGATCGATTTTATTTATTTGTATTAAATCATGTAGTTAATTGGTAGTTATTAATTGATGTGAATCTCTGTTATTATAAGGTTTGGTCGTTTGGGTAAAAAAAAAAAAAAACTGTACCTACTAAAACTTTGTCATTTGTTTTTTTTTTTTTTTCTTGGACGATGGGGTAGTACTCCAACTCCACCTCTATCAAACTTAACATTAAAAGTCCTTTAAATTTGAAGACTCAAATATTGGATTCCAATTTTTCAAATTTTTCTTTCATAATTTATTTTTGTAGTAGTTGCCCATCAAGATGTAAAAAATTTTGTACGAATGCACTATGATTCAGCACCAATAATGACATTTTACCTGCCACTACTTTCTTTAGTCTTCTTCCGCTTTTCTTTCAAGATATTTCTCTGCATGTAGGAGTATTTATTTGCCAGCAAATTCAGCCAAAAAAATGTCCTGCAGGAAAATCCCATGCGTCAGTGCATGTTATGCATGCATAAGCACTTGAAGTAGCAGCAAATTAAGATTTTTTTACCACAAAGATGTAATATCATGTAACCACTACAACTGGAACTGCCCTTCTGTAATAAGACCAGGATCAGGGAAATTTCCAAAAACAATACCTTGGCACAAACACCAAAAATAACTAATTTCATCCATGCCACATGATTTGACCAAAGATTCAAATGCTATTCTTGTCTGAAAAGACAATGAACTAAGCTAATTGATGGTATATAAGGTTCATTCAGAGCACATATTTTTACTTCCTCTAAACATGACAGTTGAGCCGTAACATTACTAAAACGTATTTTCAGTGACAAACAGCTCCAATTCCATTAAGTCACTTCATAAATCAACTCATGCAAACTGCAAACAGATCAGTTATGTTGCGAATTAATCACAATCACCAGTCCCACGTTAGAATTGACTTCCCTAATCCATTCACATTGCACAAAGATGAGAGCATTCCAATACCAGGCACATACACTTCGTACTGACAATGAAAAATTGAGAGACAGGATCAAATAAATTTATAAGGGAATGGTGTATGGATAAAAACGGAGACCCATCAGAACTTCCGATCCGAGGCCAGCACCGCACCCAATGTACCGGCGGAGATTTCTGACCCCAAGCATTGACGAAGCAGGCGGCATCTTCCTCTGTGTGGCAGCCTCATGGCTCTCGCCATCACTAGATCCACTGTACATGCCCGAATCAGACCAATCTGATAACTAGAGTCGACTCGGTAAAGTTTGATTTTCTTTCTCGCCCTTTCTCCGTAATGCTCAAATCCCTGGCTCTCGACATTCTTTGCTGCGATTAAGACGAGTTCGGAAGAGGGGAAGCGCTTTATTTTGTATTTTTCATATTCCAATTTTTTATTTACTGATTTTAGAAAATGTTCACAGAAAAAATTGCAAATTTACCCCATTATTCTAATGTTTTTTGAAATGATGCTACCCCCTATCGGGCTTTTGGGATAGTATTTGATAAGCACAAGATAATTCCCCAAGCTCTTTTTTTTCCTAATTTAATTTAGTTTTTCTTTAATATTTTTATAGAAAGTGAATCGCACATTTTATAATAATTAATGAGGGGATCTATGTAAGGCAGGCAGCAAAACAAATGCCTTTCTATTTTAATTAAACCTTGAAAATGAAAAGTTTTGTGAGACTGGACTGGAGGCCAATTGTCCATCTTTTCATCCGTTGCTCGAAAAGGCCTAATACAACATATGTTTTTAACAGCATGGATAACAAAAATTCACTATAGTAACAGTTAAATCAGATTGCAGAAGCATAGCCAAGTGGTCCCTTGAAAGAATATCTTTGTCTGTCAATCCAATCCTTTGCAATTTCTCATATATTCTTTTATCATTTGAGCAAGAAAAGAGGAGAGATCCAATGAAGAATAAAGAAAAAGCTAGTGAAGAAAACAACAGTTTGATTCTTTGATACGAAGAACGAGAACAACGAAGTTGAGAAAATCCAAAAATTCACAAACATGAACACCCGCTTGCTGCCAAAGTCTTA